AAGTATATGACCACCTGTGGACCTGCCTCGTGCAGCTCCTCCCTCAAGTATTCCCTGCATGCCTTATACAGGGAGGGCACCACCGTCCTGTTGAAGGTGGTGCATGCAGGCATGCAGTATGATGCGACCATGAGCCGCCTGAACCCTGCCCACTCTACTAAGGAGAAGGGCTGGCCATCCAGAGCAAGCATCTTCTCAATGCTCTGGGTGACCTCGCTCGCCTTGGGAATGCCCCCTTTTGTCCCTGCCTTTCCCCCACTGGTCCAGGGTGACCTGCCTCGGCTTCTGGGGGACGGAGGCTTTGAAGCAAGAGGGGGGCTTCCCTTTGTGTGCGCTCTCACTGGTGCCAAGCTGAGGAGGAGCAAGGACAAGGAGGTGGTGCCTCCTGATATGCATCAGCATCCCTGTGCTGTTGAAATGTTTCTCAACCTTGCCCTGGCTGGTCTTGTATTGATAGTGCAGGCAGATAGCATACCTGGGATCATCTGCCACTTCAAAATGATCTCACACTATACTACCCCTTTGCTTCTGGGGTGCAGGTGTGGGTCCTGCCTTATCCCCCTCCTCAGCAGGCAGAGGCACAACAACAGGGGAAGCTGAGTCACCTGCCCCTACAACCTCCTCCGCAGTGCCTTCCAGAGAAGGAGACCTGGCTCTAGGGGAACTTTTGAGGGGTGTGGAGCAGAAACTCCAATTTCCCTTCTTCCCCCAGAACTTTTCCTGGCTATGGCCCTGAGCTCCCCTAGTTCCAGTTCTAGCTCCTCCTCTGGCACTGGAAGGCTCAGGCTGGGAACTGAAACTGGGGTGGAGGAGACTGTCATATTGGTGGTGCTGGGGGTTATTATTATTGCTGGTGTTAGTGGAGGTAGGGCAGGTGCAGACACTGCTCCCACCTCCTTGCTGCCACTAGCAGCAGAAGCCTCATGTCTGCTAGGGAAGAGGGCGAAATTTTGCACAGCCCTAATACATACTGTTATGGCACATTCTACTCTTCATGAATACAGTTTTATACCATACCATAAAATCTGGTATGGACTTCACTTGAAAATTAGGCATCACTGGGAAAGCAGGCTACCAGCTAAAATTTAGACAGTAAATTCTCACCAACTACAGCAGTCACCATTCTAAGCATGTGTAAGGGGAGGTACAACTCAGACAAGTAGGATAGAAGTCAGAAAGGCTACCAGCTCATTCCTGCACAACGTGCTGGTATCAAGCTTGAAACAATGCCAGCTATATATTATAGGATATAATACAACAAGGATTGGCAACCTACAACTTGTGGGCTGGAGCCACTGGATTCAAACCACGGACATGGAGCTTCCTTTATACAGTGGCAGGGAAAGCAGCAGTGGCGGGCACTTTCCCTGAGCTATGGTAGAGAAAAAAGCAGGGATGACTATTAGGTCTAATGCCTACCCAATTCACCTCTGTCCTGAGCTGGGTCATTTTAGCCTGCATCTGAAAAGGCTGCTGAGTGCTGACTTACAACAAAGAAAAATGGCAGAAGAGATGTTTACAATCTCTGCAGTGGTGCTGGAGGCAAGTGGGTGTTTACAGGGCTAGAAATCTTGTTGGTTACAAGATGGAGTGCACAGTGTCCGTGTCTGCATCTAAGAGGTCTTAGTTGGCATCTTGCAAGTCAAAGAGCTCACAGCTTTCATGTATATTGTCATTCATAAAGTCACCATCAGTCACAGAATTCTCACCTCCTTCATGTGCATAAGCAGCAGCTGAGACAAAATGCAAGTCAACACTTTCAACCCATGCCAAAATCCTGTCCAGCTCCTCATAAAATGGACAGGTGGCTTGAGCACTGTTGGAGGTCCAGTTTTTCTCCTCTGATTTCTTGTATGAAAATTTCATATCCTTTGCTTTAATGTGGCACAGCTTGACTTCCTAATTGTGACCCTGCTTCTCCATCCCTTTAGTGACAGCTTCAAATATGTCCAGGCTGCAATGTCTAGACTTCCTGAACTTTTACTTCTCCCCAGAGGAAGATCCGGGACCTCTCTACATCTCCATCTGGACACATTACAAAGTACTGAACAGACCTAAAATAAATGCCAGCTATACTGATTCCAGGAGCATGCAAACGCAAGTATACCAAACACGGTTGCATGCTGGTAGTTAAGCAGGAAAGTGACAGGTGTCAGGTCAGCACAACCCACAATCAGTAGAGGGCACACATGAAAACAAGACTAGCCAGTCCAGGCAGGGGACAAACCAGTGTAGGAGGACAGCTGGAGAAGGGACAAAATAATATGCAACATAGACAGTGACACAACCATTTGCATGCAATAACATCAAGGTGAAATGTGACTCCATTTCAAACAGGATCACAAACTGTGCAGTACCCCACCAGTTATGACACATTAAGTAATTATATCATTTGGACACACGTCTTTTGAGTATGCAACAAGTTTAGTATTAGGAAACCCCACCCATGATGCAAAATCTAAGTACAGCCCCTGCAACTCATTCTGGGATGTGAATGTCACTTTGAATTCTTTCCATCTTCTCATCTTGTTCCAGTAATAAATGTTCTACAGGCAAAACTGCGTAGTAAGCTACACATACATAACTTAATTAACATGCACTTAATCTGAATACTGGAATACTTTAGAAAACTAAAAGAGCTCCAAAGGTAAATTGTAAAGTCCATCTGTAACCGTTAATTTCTAAAATAAGATGTACCATGTTGCAGCAATAAAACTTAGTTACTTATGAAGTATACAATTCAATGTTCATTCATTTTCATTTCAAAGAGTTCCCTTATAGCAGATTTTAAACGTTTTTTCCGAACCTTTAAATATATTTACTTTGAGATTAACATTACGGAGGCTCTACAAGTTTAGTAACTGATGAAAAAATTAAAATAAATACTTTCATTAAACACTTAAGTCCTATAGGCTAATTTTTACATTTTCTTAACTGCCATAAAGTGTAACTGAAGTAAAGAATATAGTAAAATTCAAAAGAATGAAAGGCATTTACATAGCTGGTACCTCACTGTGGATCAAAAGTTTTATTAAAAAAAATTGCATTTACTCAAATACAAGCTCCCTCATCTTATATTTGCATGTGAAGCAGAGGCGGGAGCAGGTAGCTGCTGCGGGTCTGAGACTGGCCCTGAGCCTGGGTTGGGGCCAGTCAGCCCCACAGCAGCCTCCTGCCCCCACTCTGCTTCTCCTCTGCAGCTTCTACCCCACCCCCACCCCCTTTCCTCCCGTCGGGTGCAGCTCAGCTCTGGCTCGGTCTCTCCCAGGCACGGAGCGTGCAGGAACTCCTTCCTCTGCCTGGCCAATCAGCAGTGCCAACACTGCTGCATGGCCAGACAAGGGCTGAGCTTCCATGTGCTATGCTCTGGGACACAGCAGCCCAAACAGCATCTGGATGGAACAGGGGATGAGGCAGATGGAAGAGGCAGAAACTGGAGAGCGACTGGTGGGGGGGGGGAGAAGAAGCAGAGACTGGGGGAGCGTAGGGGAAAAGAAGCAGAGACAGGTCGTTTGGGGGAGGAGGCAGAGACTGGAGGAGAGTGCAGGGAGTGGCAGGGAACAAATTTAAGAGGGCAAGGGGGCCACCTGACACTCTCCCTGGAAAATTTTCCATATATAGAATCTAATGACTGGGGGGTATCACAGAGCACGGAGGTGCTCTGCTCCTAAAGAGGGGAGACTGCTGGGGAAAGAGCCCTAGCAATGAGTAAGGAGTCCAGCTGTGGGTTGCCAGGGCAACTGGAGCCAGCAAGAGATTGCACCTGCCAGCGGTCAGCTGATTGAAACGGGCAGGGCCTGGCTCCCTTATAAACCCTGGGGGCTGAGGCCAGGGGGAGTTCCCTGCCAGCAGCCCAGGAAGAAGGAGCTCTCTGCTGTGGAAGAGAAGAGAAGCCTGATGAGGGAGCAATGTCTGGCACTGCTGCGGGATGAAGAATCTCCGGTAGGCTCATGCGTGATTATAGCTGGGCGGCTTCTGTTTATGTTATAGCCTATGGGCCTGTGTTTGTGTTACTGTTTGTTACTGGTGGCTTGGGTGAGGCTATTAGGGGTTGGAGGAGGCCTCATAGGGGACTCACACTAGTGTGGGGGCCCCAGTGCCAGTGAGGGCGCAGCATTTGGGGTACATAGACCCCAGCCCCAGAGAGGGGCAGTTGAGAAGCCCCAGAGAAGGGGGCGTTCCTGTGAAGCCCCAGTGCGGGCATAGTGAGCCCCGGAGAAGGGGGCAGCATTGCGGTGAACCCCTGAGAGAGGGCGGCTTTACTGAGAAGGCCCTGAGAGAGGGCAGTGCTTTGAGAAGTGCCAGTGAGAAGGCGCGGAGAGAGACGGAGCCGCGGAAAGCCCAAGTGCCAGAGAGGGTGTAGACCCAGACCGGACAACGTCTATTCCATCAGCGAGGCGTAGACTGCAGTGTAGGGGAGGAAGCGGAGCCGCAGATAGCACCCCCTGGCACCAGGGCAGTACAATAGGCAGCCTCCTGCTCGCAAGAACATCATCATAATTTCCATCAAGACGTGGCAGGCGAGTACAGGGCGGGACACAAGAACCCTAAAGCAGGACCCAAGGGTGCCCCACACAAGGCGCGGAGTACTAGGAAGATGGAGCTGGGAAGGGCGACCTGTTACAGGGGGGGGGTTATCGCATATTCGAGTAAATACAGTAAGTAGTAATCCTTCTTATATCAGGACCAATAAAAATATTCACTGACATTAGGGGAAAAAAAATCTCCTATACAAAGGTTACTTCCAAAATTTTTCAGTCCATGTTCCTCTGGTACAGAGCACTGCTAGACTAAACGCAACTTTAAATGGATTACGGGTACAGAGCAGTTCCTTTAGCCACACCCTCATATTTTACTGATTTTATACATACATACTAAGGAGACAGACAATCCAAGTAATTCAGTAAGCTACCCGGGCAGTATGTTAATAGAAAAAAGAAATATATATTTGAGTACAGTATATGGAAAAATATCTGAAAGTCAAAGACTCACATACTTACAGTGAAAATTCCCATTAGTTGAGTGTAAAAGAGCCCACTTATTCCACCTAAAATGACGAGGCCCATGAAGGTAGATATTCTTATCAGGGCAAGTTCATGCCTGAATACAAAGAAATCCTATGAATAAAAGGGGAAAAAAGACAAAACTGTTTACTTTTCAAAAAGTAAGCAAAGAACCCTGAAACAAACAGAAACAGCAGATAAAAACTGACCTATTACATGTATGATAAAAGCAATATTTTGTCCTTCTATGTGTGGTTCTACTAAATGGATGCTTAAAACACTAAACTTGAATGCATTATAAACTAAACATATTCTATACATGTAGTCATTTTAAAAGGTGGGCGACATTGCCAAAGAACTCAAGCCAGTATTTAAAGTTTGGGAGTACCATAAACTAAGCTATCTTAACCCTGATCTAACTTCATTAAAGCAGGCCACAGGTTACGCTACACACAATGGGTTCTTGAAAATACACCAAATAAAATGCTGTCCATTATAACGCTTCTAGATCTTGCCTCTTAGCCACAGTGCATTACAGTTTTTCAACATAATCTCCTTTTAAAAATATAAAATTACAGCATGACCCTTAAAAACAGCACTGCTATAAACTGGAAGTAAAATAATTGTTCAATTAATTAAAATACTGCCTAGCATCCACTCTGGCCTAATTTTAGACTACCTAAATCTTTACGTAAACTGACATATAACAACTTAACCTGTCAGTATATGACACGCATAGTTTATTAGGTATGGTTTATATTCTCAAAGCTGTGCATCACAAATGCATATACATGAGCTAAAGTTTCCTATTCAGATTAAGGTTATGACAGGACCTGTCTCTAATGAACCCATGTTGGTTGCCCCTAAGCATAACCTCCCCTGCTGGCCCCTCGTGGACATGCACCAGGATAATTCTCTCAAAAAGCTTACCCAGGATCGAGGTAAGACTAACTGGCCTATAGTTCCCTGGGTCCTCCTTCCTCCCTTTTTTGAAAGCCCAAGGATGCTCAACCTCCAGTCCACCGTGCCACATCATCCAGCCCATGGGGCTCCCCACAGGTCAGGAAATTTGGCAGCAGGAGAGTGGTGGCACTGCTCTGTTGCTGGCAAATCTCTGTACCCATGGGGAGCCCTGGGTTCTGCGCGCTGGATCTGGTATCCTATCCCACTGTACAGGACTGGATGGGGGCAGCACCAGGCCCCAAGGCCCAATCCCAGCACAAGGGGGACAGGACCTGTTCCACTCATTTGGCCCATGGACCAAAAGTTTGAGCACCACTGGGATAGCCTAAACATACTATGATCTATTTATCATTTAAACTAAATGAAAAATATTACTTAAGTCATACTGCCAAAGTTTTGAAGAAAAGTTAAACTCTGAACTGCTGGGAGTCAATGGCTAAGCAACTAGAATCATAGTTTAATGAAATGTTAAACTAGTTTTTGGTAACAGTAGCTGCTTGTACAGGTGCAGAAAATAACTTCTTCATTTCAGTTTACACAGCTACTTCAGTTCAATGACTAGTTCAAAGATAAAACTTATTTTCCTCTTCTAAACTATGGATAAAAATGAACCAAGAAGTTGATATCGTCTTGTTTTAAAATTCTGAACAGAAACCTGATGAACAGAACAAATCAGTTCAATTCACTAACTACAGATTTTGTTGATGTAATGACATAATTTAAAATGTGAAATGTATTTTGATTAATTTACTTTTTTTAAAAATCATAGGTGCATTTATTTTTAAATTGGACAATTAAAGCAATTTCTATCCCAATAGAACTTAGCCCAAACCAAAAGTTTTTTAAAGAAATAATCTAATAAATAATAACTGTATTATTCCCTATTCTTATATATATATATATAAAGCATCTGAATAAATTAACAATATAATTTCTTAAATAGCAACATAGCACCAAATTTAGCATGAATGCTGTATTTACTTGCAAAAGGAACATGGTTTGATAGTTGTACTAACCAATGATACTCTTTATTTCTATAGGAAAATATCAAACATAAAAATACAAAGCGTGATTTTTCTAAATCATGATTTTTTGCTTGCCAATTTAAATAGTGATCAATCCATTCTGAAGCTAAACTTCAATTTCAAAATTTATTTCCAAATGATGATTTCTTTGCTCACTTGTTGTAAATAGGAGACTGCTCATGGGGTAAGCTTGTTACAAGTTGTGTTAAGAACAAGAAGTGCTGCTCCCTTCCTTGTTATTGCAATGCAGGATATCTATGGTAGTGCACTTGGTTTAGATCATCACATACTTTATCTTCTGCCACCTGTGAATAGCTAGGCCCAGTGTTCTATGCTTGTTGATTATGACCATCTCATCTTACAAACATTATCTCCCAACTAGATTACCACAATTTAATTTACACCAGCATCAAAATACCAGCAATGAAAAAAAACAAACAAAAAAAAGCCCCGATGCAGACCACAGTACTGTGACTCTTCACTGAACCAGGCTAGCAAGACTTCTGCATGGAGCTGTCTGTTGTACAGTTGGATAGGGCAGTACCGCAGTCAGTCACAAAGGACATAGGTACTTCTGAACTTGAAAATAACTTTTGTTCCTGTTAGCAACTGTTGCCAGCTGCAGGATACACCTCATTTGTTCTAACCCTGCCAATGAGGGCTGTCCAATTTTTAAGCAGTGTGGGGCCAAACACCCCATAGGCTGCACCAACAGGGGCTGCACACAGCAGGGGCCATGGGACCCCAGGCTGCATGGCATACATATGTGCAGGCAGGTACTCTCCCACCACTCTACATCATGTATGGAAGGAAGGGAACTTCCCCACCCCTCTACACTGCGCAAGAGTAGGTGCTCCCACACCCTGCCATACTGCACACATCGGGGTGGGGAACCCCCACCCACTGGCCCCATACAGCATAGCACCCTGCCTCAGCCGAAGCTTCCAGGCTCCCCTGCAGCACCGTGCTGTATGAGTGCTCTAGGCCAGTGGTTCTCAGCCTTTTTGTACCAGGACCCATTGTAAACATCAATGGCCACTTCCAACCCACTGCCCCTCACTCACGACCCACTGCCCTCACCCCCAGATCCCAGGCCCCCAGTGTGTGGGGCAGCAGGGAGTGTGTGGGGCACGGGGGTCCTCAAGCAGCCCCTTGCAGGCTGGAACTCTGCCAGCCTGCAAGGGAAAAGCCACAGTTTCCCACATTTTTCTCCTTTAAAGGAGAATTCATTTTTAAAAGTCTGTTGATCCATTTTTAAAATTTAAAGTTCGCAACCCTTTCATATATTCTTGCGACCCATTTTTGGGTCATGACCCATGGGTTGAGAAACACTCTTCTAGGCTACCAGCTCACCTGACACTTCAGGCTGTGCTGCACTGCCATGCCCCCTCCACCCTTTGGGGCTGTATCAGGCAGCAGAAGCCAGGGGAAGAAGAGGGAGCACCAAGCCCCTGGCTGCTGCTGCAGCCAGAGGAAGGTGCAGTGGGAACAAGGTGGGAGCCAGGGGCTGCATGTTAACTGTTCAAGGGCTGCCAGTTAGATAGCCCTGCTGTAAACCACTACCACACAGTGGTTAGTTCTGACAGCATGACTTGGATTCACCTTAAACAAGATAAAAATTGGTAAGTATTAGAAGGGATTCTTAATGTTTCCCAACCTCCAGGAGCTACCATGATGTTTCTTTTCTGCAAAGTGGGCATCCACCCAATCTCAATAGAAGGAGCTGGATTTGAAGGTTGGATTTATACAAGACCTTGTGGTTGCCTTGAAAACATACAGGCTTTGTAGACCTAAGAGAGGCAATGGCTTGAATAACAAAAGAAGGAAAGCTGGCAACAGCAAGAAGCAGCTGTGGCCTCTCTCTTGACATTATTGCCAGGACAGGCTGACTTTAAAAAAAGAAAAAAAAACCCACCCCTTTTTATTCCAAAGGCTTAATAAAATTGTTACCACTTGCCCAAAAATTCATTCAAGGCTTTTCAAACTTGATTACCCTCAACTACTTCAGAGTTAGGAACAATGGACATTCTGCAACCTGTGGGAAAGACGAGGCCTTTTCAGGTGCTGGCCAAGGACTGTGGGATTCATTCTGAGGCTACTTATGACAAAAATCAAACCTCAACAATTTATCGCCAAAACATAATATTCATCTCTACAGCTTTGCTTTCCTGCCAATACATAATGCATACAAAAAAATTAATAATATGCCAACCAAAAGTAAAATATGCACACTGACTTTTTCCCCTGAATAAGAGATTAAGAGGACATCTCAAATGCTTATTTTCTCATTCATTTTTGGTTCTAAAGACACTCGGATAATAGATTATGCCTCTGATAGGATGTCGTACATAGAAGAGGATTGGACAGAATACAGAACAAAACCACAGATATGGTAAGATTAAAAAAATCTCTCCAACTAGAACAGAACATGAGACTTGTCTACACTTGAAAAAAAAGCACTCAGATTAAGGGAAAATGTACAACACAGTATCTTATCCTGAATAATTCCATTCATAATACATAGATGCTAGGGTCGGAAGGGACCTCAATAGATCATTGAGTCCGACCCCCTGCATAGGCAGGAAAGAGTGCTGGGTTTAGATGACCCCAGCTAGATGCATATCCAACCTCCTCTTGAAGACCCCCAGGGTAGGGGAGAGCACCACCTCCCTTGGGAGCCCGTTCCAGACCTTGGCCACTCTGTGAAGAAGTTCTTCCTAATGTCCAGTCTAAATCTGCTCTCTGCTAGCTTGTGGCCATTATTTTGTGTAACCCCCGGGAGCGCCTTGGTGAGTAAAACTTCACCAATTCCCTTCTGTGCCCCCGTGATGAACTTATAGGCAGCCACAAGGTCGCCTCTCAACCTTCTCTTGCGGAGGCTGAAAAGGTCCAGGTGCCCCAGTCTCTCCTCATAGGGCTTGGCCTGCAAGCCCTGAACCATACAAGTGGCCCTTCTCTGGACTCTCTCCAGGTTATCCGCATCCCTCTTGAAGTGCGGCACCCAAAATTGCACGCAGTACTCCAACTGCAGTCTGACCAGCGCCCGACTGAGGGGAATTATCACCTCCTTGGTTCTGTTCGTCATGCACCTGCTGATGCATGATAAAGTGCCATTAGCTTTTCTGA